CGCTTGGAACGGCCGAAAACTCAGCGAAGGTGCTTACGTGTGTGTGCACACATGCTACCATAGAAGGTGCTCACATATGGTCGTTGTTGAGCCAAGAATGATTCCAGACGCAGATAAAGTTGAAGATGCTCCTGTTGAGCGAGCAGGAGGAGGAGGGCGCGAAGTGGATTTACATGAGGATGATGCCAGTGAGGAAGAGCAGGTAGCACACGACTGATACCACCGCCATCCATATGTGCCTGCATGCATGCCATGCGTGCATGAGTGGGTGATGTTCGTACATGTGTACATGAACATACACATGTATGCATGCATATAGTCTTCCATGTATATCTGCACATCTACATGACAAATGATGAGCGAACATTCAACAGCATCGAAACGCTTGGAACGGCCGAAAACTCAGCGAAGGTGCTCACATACATGTGCGCACATGCTATTATTGAAGGTGCTCACATTTTGTCATTGTTGAGCCAAGAGTCATTCCAGACGTAGATAAGTTGAAGATGCTCACCAGCCGAATCACCAACACTGCTGCTCCCCCTATCGCCACCTCAATGATTGCACTGGCATGTGTGCCAGCACATGCTACCATTGAAGGTTCTCATCTCACATCTTGTCATTGTTGAGCCAAGAGTCATTCCACAGGTAGATGAGATTGATGATACTCACGAGCTGAATCACCAGGAGCACTGCTGCTCCCGCTATCGCCACCTCGCCATACACCTGAAACACCTCTGGTCAGGTAGCGGGTCAGGTGAAAACCACAGAAGGATGAACCCACGCGACAACAACGGAGGCCAGGAACATCCCCCCATACAAGAACTTCGCGGCGACGCGCGAGGGGCCGGAGGAGCAGCAGGAGCAGAGGCAGTGACCCAACGCGGTACCGGCGAAGCACCACAGCAGCCAGTGCAGAATCCGTTGCACATCGTGCCTCGCCCGCTAACTAGTGCTCCTGATGTGATCGCGGATCGCTGCTAATCGCTTGATGCTGATCGCTTGATGCTGATCGATTCGATGGTAGAGATATCAGCGTGGTCGTGCATTGCACGTGCAGGGAGCTGCCAAGGGCTGAGTGTTGAGGGACAGCGGAATGAGATTGTGCTTCGCTACTAGTCGCGCATACTGTTCGCCGTCAGTTCAACAGTGTCAATTGCAAAAGCACGCACTGCTGCCCCCGCTACTCAGTTGACCGGAAACTGACCGTAAATGGCAGCCGAATTCTCCCACTGCAGGATCGTTAAGTTAAGAGTTGGCGAATTCTCTCACGAACCACTTGCTACGGCAAGGTACGTCGCCGATAGGTATGCTATACCATATTATGCCGCGATGGTAGGTACCTATTAAGCGCCGCGATGCACACGCGCTCCCCCGGCGCGACGCCGCAGAGAGTCTCCAACCCTTTGGCCAGGCATGCGACATATGCGACCAATTGCGACCCGGTTAGCGTCGCACCGCTGTTCGCGCGACGCTGCTGGAGCGATTGGAGCACGTGGCACACGTGCGACCATGGCGGAGTGAAATGGTCCGCCATTAGCTCCTAGAGGCTAACATTCTTGGTAAAGCGTACAATTTTGGCTGGAGCCGATGGAAGGAAACGAGGCAGCGGTGGCGAATTGCTCGTGCGACTTGAGCGAGCAGGTAACGCTGCTAGATCCAGAGACAGGATGAGAGCTAGGGTAAAAGATAAGTCTGGTGTAGCTAAATAAATAGAGCTGTCCTTTGGAGAATCAAGGAATGCAGGGAGCATTCCCAATGCTTACTTGGGAAGCAACAACACAGCGCATGTAGACTGTGAGTACTCTTTTGTCAGACATACATATCCCAAGGCTAAATGAGACCACTTTGTGCTTGTACCATACTTTTTGGATACCAGAACTAGTGGCTCATGCATTGCAATTGAAAAGATGACATGACAGAACTGACTGGATGAATAAGAGCGTATTCCTACGGGGCCACCTCGTATCAAGAATGAAATTGACTTTTGTTTACGGTATAAAACACCTTATATCAAGAATAGACCGAACCAGCGCACCAATGAAAATGCTCGCACACCCAGAAGTGAACGTGCTGATTTTCCGACGCACGGTTCCAGTTGACGCGAAGTCGTCAGTCCAGTGAATGCGGCCGACAAACAGTCATGCGAAACTGCACACGGTGGCAGTCGTGCGCCGCGCGCGAACGTGCAAAGTGTGCAAACTTGTTCATGCTGGGTCGCAACATGCCACATCAGCTGTTGATGGAGTCGCACATGTGGGTTAACCGGCAACTTTTACTGATATGAGGTTTTGGCGAACTTGTCAATTTACAGGCAGGAGTACCATTCTTGATACGAGGTGGCCCCGTAGGAATACGCTCTAATACCAACAAATCACATATTTGATGATGGTGCTTCTCACCCTCTGCCTCTAAACCTAGTGTCCACATTCATACCACATACGGTAGCACAGGTCATACCGTCATCGTCTTATCTTACACATTAGAAGAAAGGCTCACTGTGTCTTGTACTTGGGACAGTTTAGGGTGTCTTAATTCTCATAAATGGACAAAAAACCGTTTAGAAGAAACCCCCTCGTCATAAGATTACCCCGAACCCCTACACTGGTTTAACTCGTACACACCGACAGGTGTCTTATAATCAGGAACACCCATCTATAAGATACACCCGTTTTAAAGACACCCCCTGTCTTCAATTCGACACTGTCTTATATCCGGCTACCACTCTTCAGAAGAGTCCTGTGACACAGCGTGGCAGAAACGAAGTGCTAAAACGAAAGAACAGTATAAGGTCGTACAGTTCAATAGCAGTACTGTAACGGAAGAGTGTAAGGCCGTAAAGTTCTTCAGTAGTACTTGAACAGAAGAACGGGCAAGTGGCAATGACCACGAGGCGTACGGTCAGTGAACGTACAGCGACTAGATCAACAATCTGACCGTCCACTTACGCGTCGCCACGATTATTCCCTTTGCAGCGTTGGGAGAACTTATTCAGTGCGTCAAATGCGCTTAGCAGCAAACCGCGCGACTGGCTTTTTCCGCCGCGAGCCAGCCCACCTGTCCGGCCAAGCCGCACGGTCCTGTCAACTGACTGCACGATCCGTTGCACGCGCCGACAATGCCGCACGGCGTCCACTCCATGGCGGACGTGCGCGGATCACCCGCCGTACATTGCTCACGCACGGGTGCAGCGGCAGCCTCTGGCGTGCTGACTTTTTTTCTCGAAGGCGACGAGAGATCGCCTGTCGAGTTATTCGCAGCAGTCGCCTGCGACTCGCAAATGCGAGACCTTTCACATGACGACTTCCAGGCGTCAAGCAGCGACTCCAACGCCGATGCTGCCGGCGCGGCTTTATTCGTGGAGGGGGTGTGGGAAGGAATCGCGGAGGCGGAGGGAGTTGAGGAGGCGGAACGACACGAAGACGAAGACACCGTGTCTGTCGGATCGTGTGGTGATTCTGAAGTCTTTATTGGACGAGTTGCCGAGGAGAGCGGGACATTTGCGTCCAAAGTGGCCATGGGGTGTCGCGTGCTGCGTTCGGTCGATGCGCTTCTCTTCGTCTCCCCTCCGTCGGCGGAATCCTTATTACTCTTCGTATTGCTCCGAAGCAGCTCCTCGCAAGCCAAGCTGCCGTATCTGACGGCGTATTCCAACGAAGTTAATCCACTCGCGTCCAAGGCGGACGCATCTGCGCCTTTCTCAAGCAGAATTTCCGCTACAACCGAATCGGCGGCTGTTGCTGCAAAGTGCAGAGGGGTCTTTTGGAGACAATCCAGAGAATTGACGTTTCCGCCGCGCTGAATCAGCACGCGGAGGAGCTCTGCGCGGCCTTGCGCGGCGGCGTAGTGCAGCACGTTGCGGCCATGGCGGTCTGAGGAGTGGAGGAAACGAAGCGGTGTGTTGACGATTAAAGCCTTTGTGATGTCTTCGTGGCCGAGAATTACGGCCCATTGGAGCGGCGTGCGACCGAAACCGTCGCGTCCCGCCGAGTCCCATCCGTCGCGAAGGAGTTTTCGTGTCAGCTTTAAGTCGCCTGAGAGCACTGCAAGGTGCAATTCTGAGGGCGAAACTGAAGCCATTTGCGATTACTAGTGGAAACTGATCCTTAGCTACACTATTTCAGGAACCTTGAAGCACTAGTGGAAACACCATCCAACTATCTGATAAGGAGCTCACAAATGCTTGCCATCGCGTATGTGCACTCGTCAGAATCTCAAGAGCAGTTCTACAAATAATTGATCTTGGAAACTGTTATCTAGGGTATTATTGCTCATCCTCTTGTCCCTTACATTATCTCTCCCGTCTCATCCTCTTGCCCTGGGTTTCTGTCTTTCCTTCCTACGGCAAACACGGCACAGCTGCTGCTCCCTCCCTCCTTCCTCCCTCCCTTCCCCTTTGGGGGACTTGCTTCCTTTCTGCACCAGCTTCCTTTCCGTTCCGTTCCGTTCCGTTCCGTTCCGTTCCGACATGATGAGGGGGGTTGTCGTGGCCGAGCACGGTATTTGGCGGAGGGGCTGGCGCGGCATGCGGAAATCGCAGCGGAACAGCATTATTGTCCCGCCAGCTACGCGGACTGGATAAACCCGTCCCGATTTGCTTGAACTTCCCCCACAAGATATGGCCGAAAAAGGGGGCGCGCGCAACGCAACCGCGAGCCCTGGGTTTCGTTCGCGTCCAGGTCCGGGAGGGAGTGGTGGCGGGTGCATTTAACGTGACCTGTACCTGACGTGACGCTGGTGGTGGGGGGAGGAATCCCAGCTCAGGGGACTGATGCGGGGCAATTTGCGGAGTGCCAATTGCGCAGCCTTCGATTCGACAACTGGGGGGAAAGCAGTGTCTCTCGAACCAGCAAAAACTCCTGTCTTGTGGCGAACCACGAAACTTCAGGGCAGGTGAAAATCGAGGAGCCACACTGCCGTGCCCCACAATCCGTGACAGGCTTGTGTGACAATCTCGGGGTTGAAGTCGCGCGCGGTCGGGAAAGTTTGAGGGCCCAGGCTCAGGCCATGTCAGCAGGCGCGGGAAGCGGCGTGGCCGCAAATGCTGATGACATGCTAGCGACGTGACGAGAGGCAATCCAACAACCATGCTGTTGTGGCAGCTGCACCCAACGATTAGATCTCAACGATTCTTCGAGAAAAAACCCTGAACTGTGATTGGCTTAGGATAAGCCCATATGGTGAAGCGTTAAGAAGTCCCTCACTCTCTTGATATGCACGCATTATCTTATATTAACGGAAACACACAATATCAACCGGAAGACATGGAAGAATCAGAACTAGAAATCTGTACCAATTAGGTCGTTGAACAGACTATAGTCTGGCTGTGTTGGCACTTCACACAAATCTGTGCCTTGTACACCACCATCACCCCTTTGCCTTTGCAGGTTAACTTGTGTGGAATGTCTCGATTGTCCAACAATATTCCCCTCCTGTTCTTCTACTGGCCCACTCGCATCACCAGTTCCACTCCCCCCTCTCACACACTCCCCTGAACCCTCATTCGCTACTCGCTCACCCCCCAGTGCTGAGGCTGCCACAGCAGCAAGCGACCGGCCCAGAGATGCCAGCTCCGCACTGCCTCTGATCGACAAACGACGGCATGCTGACAGCTGGTGTGACAATGACTGCATGGGCCCCGCAGCAGGTGTGGGCGCGCCATGAGTGGCTGTAGCATGAGTGGCAGAAGCATGAATGGTTGTGGCAGGAGTGGCTGAATCAGGTGTGGGCGCACCAGGAGTGGCTGAAGCAGGAGCGGCTGCAGCAGGAGTGGCTGAAGCAGGAGTGGCTGTAGCAGGAGTGGCAGAAGCAGGGGCGGCTGTAGCAGGAGTGGCAGAAGCAGGAGTGGCTGTGGCAGGAGTGGCTGTAGCAGGAGTGGCTGTAGAACGAGTGGCTGTAGCAGGAGTGGCAGAAGAAGGAGCACCTGTAGAAGGAGTGGCAGTATCAGGAGCGGCTGCTGCAGGAGCGGATGCTGCAGGAGCGGTTGTAGCAGGAGAGGCTGTAGCAGGGGCTGCAGCAGGCACGCCTAGGGGATGGCTGCGCACAGGAGGACGGGACTGATGGGAAGGTGCATGGGTGGGCGCTTGCTGCAAACGCACAGATGCAGGCCCAGTAACTGGTGCGGCAGCAGGCTGGGCAGGTGCAGCAGCAGCAGCAGCAGCAGCAGCAGCAGGGAGGGTGGTAACAGCAGGAAGTGTCGTAGCAGCAGCAGGGGGTGTGGCAGCAGAAGGTTGTGCAGGGATCCCTTGTGAGTGATTGGCAGTGGCGATGCCCACATGAGGAGTATATGAGGCACATGGAGCAGACAGAGCAGAAGCTGGGGAAGGGGCGATTGGGCTGCCATGTGCAGTGCCATGGGTTGAAGCAGGGGCAACAGGAGGGAGAGCATGAGCGGCAATAGGAGGAGCAGCAGGAGAGAGAGCAGGGGTAACGGCAACGGCATGGACGGCAGCAGCAGCAGCAGCAGCAGCAGGAGCAGGCCCAGGCGCATGAGGGTGCATCTGGTGTGGGGGTGCGGGAAGCACACGGTGGGCTGGTGCTACAGTCCCTTCGGCCACTGCTACAATGCCAACATTTGGAGCAGCAAGGGATGGGCCATGAATGGAAGCAGGAGCAGGCCCAGGCGCACGAGAGTGCATCCGGGGTGGGAGTGGAGGTAGAACACTGTGAGCTTCCCTGCCTGCTGCCTCTCCCACACAAGGTGAGTTTTGAGGCGCCTCAGAACTCGAAGGTCCAGGCGCACGAGGCTGCACTTGGTGTGGGAGTGGGGGAAGGACACTGTGAGCTGCTCTGCCTGCTGCCTCTCCCACATGAAGTGCCTGACCTTGTACGATACCCACCCACGGCTTCACATCACCCCCAGCCCCCCAGGTACCCCCAACCAAGGCATCATCACCAACATCAGTCAGGTCGATAATGCCTTCTCCTTGCTCCTCCACAGCCCCTGATCCCTCCACTTCCCTTGCTGCTCCACCTGTTGCCACTGTAGCAGCACGTGAAGGTGTTGCATCAGCACGTGAAGGTGTTGCATCAGCACGTGAAGGTGTTGCATCAGCACGTGAAGGTGTTGCATCAGCACGTGAAGGTGTTGCATCAGCAGATGATGGTGCTGTATCAGCAGCTGGTGGCGCTGTAGCAGCAGGAGCGGGGGATGGGAGCACAGCAGCAGGTGCAGCAGCATCGAGCCGGCGTCGCTTGGAGGGAGGGGAGGCCGGGGAGGGTGAGAAGCCCCCACCCTGGGGTAGAAGCTGCCAGGAACCATCCGGAAAGAGCAGCACATCAGTTTGATCAATGCTGGCAGTGCTCTGAGAAAGAACCTGCATGGGGAGAGGGGGAGAGGAGAGGTTGAGTGTGAGCAAAAAACTGGTTCGATCAGAGCTGGCCGTCCTCTCATACATGCCATACGTGCTGTGTGTGCATGCATATGCTCTGGGTGTCCACATGTGGTTACCATGAAGAAGGCACAATGTGGCGATGCATGGGTACCCCACATACTCCATGCATGCATGCATACATGCCCACGTGGCATGTGTGGGCGCCCACATATGCACTGAGATTAGAACGCCACGTGTCATGTGAGGAGAGCGTTTACCTGCATCATGCGCGTGTCGAGACAGAGTGACGTGGCGCTGATGTCAGCACGGCATGTGGGGCACTTCCACATGGGCTTTTGCTCGTTGATTGCCATCACACTGCTGTAGTCGCAGCACTGTATGAAGGGTATGGGGGGAAACGCAGGAAGACGAGTTGATTGCCATCATACTGCTGTAATCGCAGCACTGTATGAAGGGTATGGGGAAACACAGGCAGGCGAGTTGATTGCCATCATACTGCTGTAATCGCAGCACTGTATCAAGAGGATGGGCACATTGCGTGTGCAATGTCATCAGGTTCTTTCAGTCGTGGTTGTTGCATGAAGAGTAAAGGAGCAGAAACTGCACAACAGGAAAGCTCCACCAATTTGAGAATACACCTGATTTTCCATCTGGAATCTCACCTGATGGTGGGAGCACGCTCGGTCCCTCACAGGCACTTTCATACGAGACCAACTGCAAGTTGACAAGAGGGGAGGCGGTAGGTCAGGCAAGGCAACAGAGGTTGGGATGGGAGTGGTTGGTGTGTGATTAACCGAAGCATCCAACCCATGCGTCTTCCATCAAACCACTTCGATCGAAGCATCACACCACTTCCTGCATACATCACATTACCTAGTAGTACACATGGCATCACCTGATTGGACACAAGAGTGACACTCGAACTGGTCCCTCCAGCAACTCCTCCTCCTCCTCCTCCTCTTGCCCCTGCTGCTGCTGCTGGGCCTGCCCCTGCGGCTGCTCTCCTTGCCCCCTGTCACCGCTCCTCTCCCCCTCCGCTGTCAATGCACGGTCCGGCAAACCGTTTGAGGTTTCTCCAGAGGGAGTTGTGTGTGTGTGCGTAGAAAGGCTGCTGGCAGAGGCAGCATGTGAAAGACAGCTTGCAGTGGGTTGAGAGGCTTGGGACGGTTGAGAGGAGTGGGGAGTTGGCTTGAGTTGAGAGGGGTGGGGCTTGAGCATGGAGGGTGGGGTAAGGGGGGTGGGTGCCATCACAGCCACCACGAAAATGTAGGGCACTGGGGGGGGGGAGGAGGGGAGAGGGGAGAGAGTGGCGGGGAGGGAAAATATCGGAGGGAGTGAGGGGGAGGGGGAATAGTGAGCGGAGGCAACAGCGGGAATGAGCGAGTATGGCATGTACTTGAGAGGGATGGGGAAGGGATGAGGGCGGACTGCGAGCATGGGATGTATGTGCGTGTTGCTGCTGTCATACAGAGGACTGCTCAAGAAAAACCCAAGAGGTTTATGCTTGGTTCAAACCAGAAAAGAGCACCGGAGCAATCGAGCACGTCAAAGGCCCTACGTACCTGAGAGGCGGCCAATGAGGTTCAAGAGGTTCATGCTTGGTTCAACTCATCACCCGCCCTCCTTACCTGAGAGACGGCCAATGAGGTTCAAGATGTTCACTCCGAGCCTCAGAAGCTTGATGACGTCAGAAGGTACCAGCGGGGAACGGTCCTGCAAACGGGAGGTTGAAGAGAGGACAGGCGGTAGATCAGGCGAACACAACTTGGGATGGGAAGGGAGTGGCTTTGTGCAGGGTGGATGCAGAGAGAAGAGGAGGTATGTCCTGCAACAGAGGCTGGGATGGGAGTGGATGGGAGTGGTTGGGAGTGTTTGAGATGGGGAGGTGGCGGCCCTGTGCGCGCCACAGATATTGAAAGGTAGCAACGATGGTGTGGAGGAAGGTGCATGGGAGAAGGTTGGAGGGAAAGGGTTCAATTCCGGCTGTCGGCAGATCACCTGGTCGATGGCTGTTCTGTTGGGGACCTCCTTGGCGTTCAGCAGTATACTGCTCACGATGCCATGCCATGCCATGCCATCATGCACGAGAAATCCATCACATGAACAGTCGTCACACCATACGTTGTGCATGCATGTATGCATCATGCCATCATGCAGCACATCATCGTACAGTGAGAGAGGAAAAGCGTAAAAAATGTATAAGAAGGCTATTGAGTCGACTCAAATGCCAGGTGACTTTTGAGTCGACTCAAATGCCATCATGCAGCACATCATCGTATCGTGAGAGAGGACAAGCGTAAAAAATGTATAAGAAGGCAATGAATTCTGAACTGACTGTGTGCGGCATAGGCTGCTCACATGGCATAAGCTGCTCATGCGGCTGTCATGCAGCATAAGGTGCCACGTGGCATAGACCGCTGACCTGACTTGGGGCGGCGAGACGAGGGTGGCAGCAGAGTTGACAAAGTCTGCTCGGATGGAGAAGAAGCGCTGCGATGATAGACGGGTGTGATGGGAGGGTGGGATGGGAGGGTGAATGGGTGGGAAGGTTGGGATGGCTTGAGAAGAAGAGCGAGGGTGGCAGCAGAGTTGACAAAGTCTGCTCGAATGGAGAAGAAACGCTGATGGGATGGGGGATGGGAGGGTGGGTGGGTGGCATGGATGGGTGGGATGGGAGGAATGGGAGAGATTTGGAAGGGATGGGAGGTATGTATGGGGTGGGTGGTTTGGGAGGATGGGTGGATGCATGGACGGGTGGCATTGGTGAGATCGGTGGGATGGAGGCGGATGGGTGAGCAAGTTGCCTGATACGATTCTGCACTACTAGTGCATTAGTTTGAGCGAAAGGTTCATTGAATCTGACCAGTTTCTGCTGCGGCTTGGGATGGTGCGAGACGAGGAAGTCGTGAGTGAGAACATGGAAGCCTGGCTGACGTGGGGGAGGGGCCACGGGTGACGGGGGTGGGGGGGTGGTGAGGCATATAACAGGGAAACATATGAGCCTCGTTACTTGTGAGGACTTTTGAGGCGCCTCAATGCCTGGCTTGGGATGGTGCGAGACGAGGAAGTGGTGAGTGAGAGCATGGAAGGCTGGCTGGTGATGGGGAGATGGGAAAGAGAGGAGGCGAGGGTCATGCATTGCGTCTCATGAGCAGAGGTTGCTGGGTTGGATGAAGATGTCGTGAGTGAGTGAGAGCATGGAAGGCTGGCTATATTATCTGCCCTAATTAATGAAGGTCCATTCGAGATTGGAAGGCTGGCTGGCGATGGGGGTTGGGAAAGAGAGGGGGAGGCAAGAAAGGCATGCATTGGAGGGTAAGGGTGGGGGGAATGAGGGGCGGGGAGGGGGGGGAATGAAGGACAGGGAGGGGGGAATGGGGGGTGGGGAGCGGGGCATGAAGGGCGAAGAAGGGGAAATGAGGGGCAGGGAGGGGGAAATGAGGGGCGATGCAGGAGGGGGGGACGAAGGCAGCATCATTGGAGGGAGCAGACAGGATTGCATGGGAGGGAGCAGACAAGGGAGCATTGGAGGGAGTAGACAAGAGAGCATGGGAGGAAGCAGACAAGAGAGCATGGGAGGAAGCAGACAAGGAACACAACACATTCCCGAAGCTAGGCAGAGGCTTGGCTATTACCTGTACAGTGAGCGCTGTGCAGACCTCAACAACTTTCATACTAGGGAGGAATCTGGAGACACACATGCAAATGCACGCACACAACACACATACATGCATGTCGAGCACACATGCACACACGCGTGCACGCACAACACACTTACCACTCACACACAAATTCACACACACACACACACACACACACACACACACACACGAGGACAGGGAACATCATGTCATGTGCAGGTGCTGCGCGTGTCGATGCATGTACTTGCCAGTTATACCGGACACACCGTTAAAATTTCTCAGAAGAACAGGCCAGGCAGGTACGGTAGGATCTGGCGAGGTACTAGGGAGGTACATGCAAGCTCAGCACACACACCTCTTCACAACGAGCTCCAGAAGAAGGTCAGTGGTGAGAGGCAGGGCACCACTCACATCTGCACTCCCCTTCCCACCAGTGCCACCACCAACACCCTCGCTCGCACAGAAATATCCCTCTGCCCTCCCTTCTCCCCCTCTTCGTATCCCCACTAGCACCCTGCCCCCACCACCACCTTCAATCTCCTGTGCATTCCCTGGCGTCTCCCTTTGTCTTCCCCTTTCCCCTCTCTCCCCGTTCTCCCTCCCTTCTTCCTCGGCCCACCCTGCCACGCCATGCAGCACCTCCCCCAGATCTACCTCCCTGCTAAGCAACCTCTGCTCCTCAGCTGCCACGTCAGCATGGGGCTGACCTGGAGCTTCGTCCAGCCAACCAGAGAGAGAGGCGGGGCGAGGGGCGAGAGAGGAGGAATAAGGCTTCAGAGCCTGCAGAGGGACGAATGGGAGTGTGAGACATTTCTTTTGGTGCCAAAGAAAAGGATAAAATCCAACTCCTAGTGCCTGCCTGCAGTACGCAAATAGCTTCTAGGGCTTGCAGGTTATAGCGAGTATAAACACGCTGTGTACGGCCGTAGTTACTGGCGTACACGATGGATGGGAGAGGCCTAGGACCTTACATTATCACAGAAACCTCGAATGCTTGTTTGCTGGTCTTCTGAGAACCACCCAGCAGCCGTTGCTGCCTGGCACAGATGGAGTGGTGATGGCAGAGAGAGAGGAGAGATGGGGCGGTGGGGGAAGTAAGCGTGGACGGATGGAGGAGGATTTGGTCAGAGGATGATGGAACGGAATGTTGTGAGATGTCGAGACTTGTAGGGCGGATGGAATGGGCGTTGCAGGAGTGGAACGGGCGGAGGGGTAGAGGGAAAGTGGAGCATAAGGTGGGTAGTTGGGACGGTGTGGAAGAGAGGGAGAGTGGGAGAATGGCTGCAAGCGAGGGAACGGAATGCCACTGGCAACAGAGAGACAGGAGGGATAGGAAGGGCCAGGAGGGCTAGGAGAAGAGGGACAGGAGAGCAAAGCTGTTAGTACCTTGACAGAGCAGCAGGACGGTGACAGCGGGGCGAAGAGTGGAGACAGTGTTGAGGAGACAGGAGGGACAGGAGGGACAGGAGGGAGAGGAAGGGTTACCTTGACAGAGAGCAGCAGGACGGTGACAGCGGGGCGAACAGATGGGACAGTGTTGAGGAGACAGGCCTGCAGTGGAGTGGAGGACGGGAGGGGTTTTGACTTTAATAATCTGTGATGGCAGTAGTGACATTCGTGGAGTGGTTGTTGCAGAGTGAAGCTCCTACGTAGGGCAGTGCTCGTGTAGGCATGTATGAGGCGTTGTCTGAAAAAAACTCTTGCAACGACTAAGATATTGAACATCTCTGTGCATGGCATGGCATGGCATGGCATGAAAAGCGACCATCAACGTCTGGTTTGACACCGTTGTGACAAGGAGTGCACAAGACGCAAGTCACCATCGTCTCAGCAGCCACTCACCATCTTCACTGCATCGATCAGGTCCCCCTCCTTGCCCTCCGGTCGCTGCTCTGTCGCCAGTGCCACGTCCAGGGTCCTGGGGGGAGCAGAAGGGGCACACGGTTGCAGGGAGAGGCAGAGGGTTGCAAGGGAGAGCTATCAGCGGCTGCTCTGTCGCCAGTGCCATGCCAGGGTCCTGGGGGAGGCGCATGGTATGAACAAATGAGAGGAGCAAATGGGAAGGATGGGTCCCTGGACCTGTCGCCTACCTGAGTGAGTCCTACCTACTCGCCATATTCACCTGGAGACGTCCAGCAGCGTCTTGCTCATAGCACTTGCTGCGTCTCAACCTCCTGGCGAGTTTGGGATTTCTAAAACATGACTCCAACCGAGCTCACTCGCTATATTCACCTGGACACGTCAAGCAGCGTCTTGCTCAGAGTGCTTGCCGCCTCTCGACCTCCCGGCGACTTCCATAACGCCGTCGCCGCAGCTGCTGCTGCTGTCGCATCCGCCGCTGCTGTCGGATCCTCCTGGCTTTGCTTCCGAAGCAAAACCTGCTGCTGCTGCGACTGCCACGCGACAGCTCGTCGCAGCATCGTGTGCAGATGCGACACGCGTGCGACGAGACGCGAAGACGACGTGCGAGTGAGATCGATCACGGTGGCTCCCGGGGGAGTCGCCTTAGACGGTGGATTCGCGGCGGGTGGCGGAGTCGCAGCGGATGGGGGAGTCGCGGCGGATGGCGGAGGCGCAGTGCATGGCGGAGTCGCGGCGGATGGGGGACGAACGGAGGCAACATAATTAGAAGCCGCAGGTGAACGAGCGATGTTGGGAACCGTGGGATGAGCTGACATTGAATTAACTCTCAATTCTGGGCTCTGGGTTGATCAGGGAGCCTGATACGATAAGTCTAACGAACATCTTCACATTCTTGGCAGTAACAAATTCACTCTAGACTGAGTTCACTCTAGGCTCAGAAATGGCTCAAGAATTATCATTATGAAGAGTTGCGCTATTATGTTACACAGGCTAAGACAGGCTAGCGCGTGTCAGTCAGGCTGTCAAACGTTGGTACAGGATGTCCTCCGTCAACCACGAAATGGAAGCGAGATGGAACAGACTGCATAGAATTCATCTGTCCACTCCGTTTGCCTCAAGATTCGGCACAGGCGAGGAAGAATCACATTGCAAATCTCGAGGGTCGAGACTCGATACAAACACCACAGCGAAACGCGCTATCCAATTGAATTGAGAAGAATAAACATTTATGTTCCCAGAGGATTAGACACTTCGGCAATATTAGTAGATTACAACAAACAAACCAGCATTTATTCGCATCTCTTATTTCCAAAGCCCTCAGATATCATTTTTATTCCATATTCGAACCCTCTCGATTGTTGGCAATGTCAAACCCATCTTCATTCATCTTGCACGATGCCTTGTGCAGCAGCATGGTGGTCTCGAGTGTGCTCACTCTATTCTGCAGCGCCTGCACGTAAGCAACAGCATTATCAAGCATGGTGGCCGTGTCCCCATGCCCGCGCACCGTCATTCGCAGCTTCTGCAGCCCCTCGCTGATCCTCTCCCGCCTCTGCCTCTCCGCCATGCTCCGCGCCTTGATGCGCCCGCCCACCACCTGCGGGTCCTTGCGTCCGCGGCTGCGCGGCATCCAGTCGTCTGCATCATTCCCCCCCACAGCACCATACTTCGGAGAGAGGAATGGCGCCCCAAATCCAAAAGCCGTGAATCGTGGCGAGTCTCCGTTACCAGGTGTGCTCGCTTTTATTTGGTTAAACGGACTGCCGAGAGACGATGGGGAACCATTACAAACAGGTTCTAGAGCACCAGGCAGCGTCAGAGGAGGAGGTCGCTGCCCTGCCCCGCGCTTCATCCGAGCCACATTGTCCGGATACGGAGCACCTGCTTTCGTTTCAGGCGCATGATTCTCCTCCGCCACTCTTGTCCGCGTTCGCATGGCCAGAGCTGTCGCCGCCGCTGCAGCAGCCGCTGCATCCTCGCTGTCAATGCTGCTGGTGCTCAGCCTGTCGTCCTCATCATCGCCTTCATCCTCGTTATTGCACGTCTCATCAACAGGCAGAGGTTTCTCATGCGCATGCGCAAACCCTGGCGCGTGGCTGAGCACAGGAGTCTTGGGCGGAGAGAGGTGCGAGGAAGGCTGCAAGAATGCGCCATCCACACCCGCGCAAGCAGCATTGTCCTTCGAAGCACCTCCCGTGCACCCAGTCGTAGCAGATTCAGAGCACAGGGAAGTCATAACAGCGTCCAGATGCCCGTCAATCTCGGGCAGGTCCGCAAGAAACGCGTCCAGGAGGCTCCTGCCGGTGCCAACTCGTGGTGGATTCCCTGGCGTTTTCGGGATCTCGTCCTTGGCGCTCCATGCGTTATGTTCTTCCTCCACGTGCATCGTCCCTTGCACCAAGCCTCGCGGCAAGTCTCGAACGGGAACTCGCTCTCCTTCTTGCCAGGTGAGCCCCGGTAGCGATGCTACCTTGCTCCTCGCTCCGCGTCCCGTCCCCGCGAAGATCTTGCCGTGTGCCGCCGCGCTGGCCTCGTTCGCATTGCCATTCCGCGCCGACTGCCCACGCACACGCGGAGCCTCAGACGACGACGGCCGCCCCTCTGTCTTCGCAGGGGCCTCCGCCGCATTGCCACTCCCGCCGTGTGCGTCAGCGGAGGCCGCCAAGGCGGTCTTTCCGCACGCCGCCTTCCGCCGTTTGGGGGAGGGCGTGTTGGGTGCGGATTCGTCGTCCGCAGAGCCCACGGAGGAGCACTGGTCGAGCGAGGCGAGCGCCGTCATCAGCGCCGACAGGATCTTGACGTTCTGCTGCGCCTTGTGCCGCCGCTGCTGATGATGCTTCTGCTTCTTCGCGTTGCTGCCGCCGGGTGCCGGAGGCCGCTCGAGCGCCCGAAGCTTGAGCAACTCGGAGTCAGCGTCGTTCCGTCGCAGCAGTTCCGCGGCCTCTCGCTTTATATCGTCCGAAATTTGCTTCATCGCCGTCGCATTCGCATCTTTCGCGTCGCCAATGCAAATCGCGTTATCATCCGTTTGAGCGCTAGCAGCCGTGTCGCTGCGCCGCTTGCTTCCGCTTTCGTCCGCCGCGCCTCTGAGAGCGTCTCCAGCGGCCTCCGCGCTTTCATTGGTTGGCGAAGGTTCTGCCGCCAGAAAAGGCGGGAGTGATGAGTCCCAGAAGCTGTTGGGAATAGCGAGAAACGAGTTAATTGCGGCGTGAATGTCGCCGTCCTCGACGGCGCCATCCACGTTGTTGAGCTTCGGGGCAAACGGCAATGCACCGTTTGCGGCGTGTGGAGCGCGCACGAATTCATCAGCGTCGGGTAGTATCAGATGCGGTGCTGATTCCATAGTGATAGGCGAAAGAGGCAAACACAGCTGCGCGCGACGACCATTTGTTCGCAGGCAGCACGGTGTCAAGGGAATACGGAGTGAGGATGTGAATGAAGTTGCTGGTGTGTGACTTGAGGGGCTGAATAAAAAGAACTCGTCGCCTTCGAGCTACATAAATGCGTGCAGGGATGTCCCCCATTTGCATGGTTTTGGGCCATTTCCATTTTCTGGGTTGCATTGCAGGGTTGCATTGCTTCAGGCCAGGACTCAGGAGCACTCAGGGGGAGAGGTCAGTTGCGCGACCTGCGGTCCAAATGCACTTTTGCAGGGAGAATAGATCTGATGTATGCATGGCAGTGTGTGGTTGGTTGCGACTGAGACTGCAATGAAGATTGGCCTTTCGCCGAGGCAAGAAGAGCGGGAGGTTGGATAACGCGGCAAAGGCAAGGAGGGATTGTGGGACAATCACTGCAGCACACTCCACAAGTGATACAGTTCCGTACATTGGAAAGCGGGCAGCGTACGCAGTGAAGTGATAAAATTTTACCAGAGCTGAAGCTGGATGTTTCAGCCAATTGCGGGACTGAAATATGCTATTATTATCGATGATAAACGTTAATGTATTATGATGGAACGCATGTATTGTGGGTTGTCAGTGTACTGTATTTGGTTCCAGCCCGTGACGCTGAAGCAGCAACAGAAACCACCAGAGATTTTCAACCTGAGATGAGCGACATGGCCTCTCACCTGTCACCTGGCTGGAGTGGAGTATGGCAATACATGTAGGCTTATCCGCAGGTTCTGCGCATCAAAGCTCTTGCGCTGTATTGGGGGGGAAGGCAGATGGGGGGATCCGCAAAGGGCCTTTGCGCGCGGAGGGAGAGGTCAGGCGATTCAAGGGTTACCAGCGTTCACCTTCAATGATTTGTTGACGACGACGGATGCACACACGTTCTGTCCACCTCATCTCGCGAAACATATTCGCGGATCATTTTGGCGCGCACGACTTTTGGTGCCTCGGTTTCGCAACCCTCTTTGTTAGCAGGAGGGTGTGGCTTCGGATTATGGCTGAAGAAACCCCTCCTTTCTGGCTTGTTGGGTTGGGAGAGAGTTCCACACTAGCAAACTTGTCCAAGAAACTTTAGTTAGGAGACTGGCTTCATATCTGGCACGGATTGTAGGCTCCAATTCTCGTATTAGAAGCCTATTCTAGTAAAAGTGTCTTCCGCGATGCAGGTTACACGAGATTTTCGCTGAAATTGCCTCTTTACGCCTCCCGTGCTGCAAATCGTCCACCATACCCGTGCCCCCCTGTCCTAAGACCTACGGTACATGGTTCACGTTCGCTTACGGTCATAGCAGATACGAAATCGCACCAATTCTCGAGCTTAGCTGTCAGGCTCATGCCGAATTAAATACAGAATGTTAGAAACCACGTTTGCGAGTCACTTCAAAAGGGGTAATGCTTTTCTCAAGATGGTACATATCATACATTGAAAATACAACCAATATGACACACGGAAACGTACTTAGCTTTATTCGTTAGTAGTGTTAATCCTATCCGAGATCCACCTGAAAAAATCGTCTACAACAGCTCAGAAGATTCTCCAGGTGAGGCCAAGGAGCAATCAGTCTGTCCAGGGTGTTTGCACGACGCCTTGTGCAGCAGCAGAGTGGTCTCCAATGAGCTCACTCTGCGCTGCAACGCGTCCACGTACGCGACGGCATTATCAAGCATCGTGGCCGTGTCCCCGTGCCCGCGCACTACCATGCGCAGCTTCTGCAGACCCTCGCTGATCCTCTCCCGCCTCTGCCTCTCCGCCATGCTCCGCGCCTTAATGCGCCCGCCCGCCACCTGCCGGTCCTTGCGCCCGCGGCTGCGCGGCATCCAATCATCCCCATCATCCGCTGCACCATTGACGCCTCCGCACGCGGGACTCCCGCCAAAACCCGCCATGTCATCATCTGAGTTGTCATTGTTCATGCAAGCTGCTGCGTCAGGCGCGGGGATAGCTAGTGGCCCAGGCGCGACGGAAGGAGCGGTGGGCAGACGAATCGGCATCTGCAGCGGACCGTGATGGCCGACGGTCCTTCCGAGGGGATAGGCGTGACTAACCACTGGCAGCGCGGCCGGGGGAGGCGCGGGAGCGGGAAAAGCAGCGGGTGCGGGGCACGGTCCGCTGCTTAGGATGGCAGCGCCAAGCGCGCGGCGCATTTGGCGAGAAACCTCCGCCTCGTTACTGCCCACGGCTGCGCTAGGGGCAACAGCCGCTGCGGGGGAAACCACCTCGCTCTCCGACGCCTTGCGCTTCCGCGACCCTGCGGCCAGCGCGGCGGCGGCGGCAGCGGCGGCTTCCGCGACAGAGCTGTCCACACTGCTGGTGCTGCTGCTGCGCATAAGCACCCTTTCTGCTTCGTTATTGCGAGCCCGCAGCTGCGCCACCGCTGCGCTGCTGCTCCCCGTCTGACCCGCCGCCGGCTGCGCCGCGTCGGCTGCCGGCCCGTCAAGTGCGGCGATGATCGCATCGAGGTGCATATCCACTTGCGGCAGCTGGCCCAGGAACGAATCGAGAAGCGCGGAAGACGGGTTACCACTGCTCGCGGGGCTGCTGTTGCTCAGACTGTCCAATTGCGGTAACCGGCGGGACGACGCGACGTCGCCGGGAGCCTGCTTGGCGCACTTTGCTGAGGCGGGGGAAGGGGCGACGGGGGATTCTGGCGAGGACGGCTCGTCGGTGTCGTCTGAGTCGGCGAGGGCCTCCATGATTGCCGCGAGCAGCTGCTTCTGCGTCTCGCGCTGCGCCGCCTTTTTCGCCTTCGTTTTTCCGCTCTTCCCGCCGCTCTTTCCGGCGGGCTTACCACCAAGATTCGCGGCTACTGGAGCCTCGGGTTTGAGGGCCCCGGCGTTGTTGTCGCTGGGGGTCCACGGAAAGGCTGTGGCGGGGAGATTGAGAAACGAATCGACTGCCGCGTCTATGTCGCCATTGGCGGGGCACGCGGGCATGCTTTCTAAGTCGAACAGGTGCTCGAAAGGCGACTGGTCAATATCTGCGAGTGCCATTTTCGGGAGTTCTGAACTGTGTGTGAACGTGATCGATCAGAGCGACGAGTGACAGTGGGAGGTATTGAAAGAGAATTGCGTAAGCTCGAATGTGCGTCCTGAGTATTGCTGGTAGTAAGAAAGTGAAGCTGGAAGTATGAAACTGAAGTTAAGGCCCAGAATTTATAGGAAGTGAGTGGGCATTTCTCTCCAAGTCAGCCAAAAAGGGAGTCTGAGGATGTCCCTGAACGAAGAATACGGGTGGGAGTCCCATTCGCCGTGCTGTGCCTGTGGGGTTTGGCGGCGGGCATTGATGTCGCAGGCACAGCCTGTTGCCCCCTCAAGTTTCGCCTGCCGAGCTTGCCGCTGGCTGCGAAAGCCAGCGAAAACATCCAAGAATTCCCGTAAGGCCGTGCCAAGTCCCCGCAGCAGACCCGCAGGGGCTGTCAAGCGGGCCTTGTAGCGAAGTCGAGTGGTTACCACACTGCTTTCGCTTAGACGCAAGCTTCGCAAGCTGGGTGGTTTGTCATGCCAGTTTGCGAAGCACCTGACCTGAACTGACGCTGCATCATGTCAGTCTGTCCACCAGTTGCTGTCATGTGATGCATCAAATCCGTACGCGCATGATTCGCCTCGTTGGCCTCGTGGGGGAGAATCTTGTTAACACTGTAGCCTGCTGAGACTGATCAACAGTAACTATCTCGCAATTAGGACGCGGTAAAAGTAGACGATCGATGGTGAGCTGAGATCCGTGTGCGGATCAGTTACCCTGTTTACGGATTTGTAACTATGCTACAGTATCGATTTTGTCGACATATTGTGCACAGGTAGTGAATGCGACTGATCAATAATCGGTGTTCAACTTTCCGAGGCATCACTGTGCAGATGATGTTCACGAACCAATCGCAACAGGCACAATTGATGTTGATGCCAGCAAAGTGCTGTAATTTCGCTAAGCGGGTGAATGGAGTCGCGCATCTTTCCCGCAATGTGGGGCTGTGGGCTGCGAATGTCGCTTTTGGATGCCCTGTGGGCTGTGAAATGTCGCAAGTGTTGTAGGGCGGTCCGGGGTTTTCTTCGACTGCGTCGCAGGCAAACCCAAAATATCGATTGTGGAAGAGCCAACCCATCACGCTGGGGGGGTCGTTACAACCAAGCGGGCCCCTCGTTTCGCCATTAGATCCGCCCAATCGACTCCGGGGCTCAAAAAACAATCGCGATCCTGCGATCCTCCCACTTTTACCGCGTCCTCAGTGTTTTGTGCCCCCCCCCCCCCCCCAAATCACGATTGCGAGACGCTGGTCTGTTCTTTTCCTGGCAAAATCGAAGTCAGCCCATGGTCCCCTCTTGCCAGGACCCAGGTGCTCTGAACGGGAGCCGCAAATGGGCCTGCCGCTGTGATTCTGACACCCATTGCGAATTGGGGCAGGCAAATCGGATCCCCATTGCTTGCAAATTTGCAATGCCAGCGCCTGCCAGTGCCATACTTTTGCCTGAAAGCTGGAACCCTACAACCAGGCAATACACCTGAACATGTCTTTCCTGTCGAACCTGAAAACTTGTGGCACCCAGTATAGGAAGTTCTGCAATTGTAATTAGGTTGGAGTTCAGAAAAAGCTGGTGGAGGGGCAGTGAGGAACACTTGTGTGAGTTAAAGATAGACCCACCCTGTGATGACATGCCTTAGTTTGAGTTATCGGTGTTCATCTGGCTATGCTGGACCAGAAATTAGTGACTTTTTCTTGTCACTTAATTTCAAACAGAGAATAAGGGCCTTCATTTCCCTCAGTGAAAATCGTATATGTTGTTCACTTGATCGCTGTATGTGAGGTATCAGTTCCGTACCAAGTTTAGGTTTGTTGTTGTGAATACAGAACCTGCTTTGGTCGGGTTTTCTAATAAATATATCCCAAGGTGTGAAGCTAGTCAAATTACCTCATATGTTGCTGAACTTTACATCAACAATCTTCTGTAAGAGCATGGCTTGCTATCATATAACAATTACGGTATATGCATACATCCTATTAGTCATGATGATATAATAATATACTAATAGTTAGTAAATCAAATTACAACACCAAATCACCATGCCATCCAAGGTACGGTATACTTTATTCCAAGTAGGTAGCCCCCATATCTGGGGCATCCATTTATTTGGTCGAGGTTAACCTTGGACTCAGACGTCCAAGCCAAAAAGAGAACCAAACTGGGAGGGGTTGATGAAGCCATTAGCATGGCGGCCCCTGTTATTGGAGTTGGATCCATTGCCACCGCCCATAGCGCCCCCAGCCTGACCAAGACCCCCACAGGACGCCTGGTGCAGCAGCATGTTTGTTTCCAATGATGTCACTCTCCTCTGCAGCGCCTGCACATAAGAAACAGCATTATCGAGCATGGTGGCCGTGTCCCCATGCCCACGCACCGCCATGCGCAGCTTCTGCAGCCCCTCACTGATCCTCTCCCGCCTCTGCCGCTCCGCCATGCTCCGCGCCTTGATGCGCCCGCCCGCCACCTGCCGGTCCTTGCGACCGCGGCTGCGCGGCATCCAGTCGTCCATGTCATCTCCACCCATGTCATCGTAACCCATGCCTCCATCGTCGCACCCGTTACCACTGTCGTTGTAACCACCATTTCCTGATGCATAGTTACCAGCACCGTCAGTGTAACCACCATCCATGCGCTTGCTCCCAAACCTCACAGGAAACCCCAGGGGCTGCTCAGCCGACAAATCCTCCCCCACACCGCCGAACCTGTCCATCATGTTCGGGCGCGGCATGGGCGCTGCGGTGGGAGACACGTCAGCAGGGACGGTGAGCATGCGGAGCGGGGTGGCAGGGGGAGGAGGGGCGGAAGCGGCGGACGCATTCGAGACGGGCGCGCGGAGCATAGGCACAGAGCCAGGAGCGGCGAGGCAGGCGGCAGGGAGCGAGAGAAGGGGCGGCTTGCACGCGGATTGCTGCATCTGCTGCCTGCTCACAACCACAGGGCCGTTGCTGATCGCGTGTGGCAGTGACAGCGGCCGGCACTCCTGCATCTGTCCGTTTCCGTTCCATCGCGCCTCTGACGCCGACCGGCTGCTGATCGCCGCCTGCTCACCGTTCCCTCCGTTCCCCGCATACGCCCCCTCGTCCTCCCCCGACTTGCGCTTCCGCGAGTTAACCGCGAGCGCTGCAGCGGCGGCGGCGGCGGCGGCGGCAGCGGAGCTATCCATGCTGCTGCTGCTGACGGCGTCCCAGGACCCCGTTTGTCGCTCGTGCGCCGAGAAATGCGGCGTGTTGGGCGGGGGGAACCGAGAGCCGGAACCCGCGCCGTCGTCGCGCGCATTGTTCTGCTGTGCGGAGCAGCCCCTAGCGCTCGCCCCCGCGCTGCTGCTTACGTGCTCCGTCGGCGAAGGCTGCGCTTCCTGCGGGTCCACCGCCGCATCTGCCGCCGCGATCATCGCGTCAAGGTGACCGTCGATCTGCGGCAGCTGATCCATAAAGCAATGCAGAATCGTATCCTCACCTCCCTCCGCGCCGCAACCCCCCACATTCGCCTTCTGCTGCGCGGGCGCGGCGGAATCCGCGCAAGGGCGCGCCAGCTGCGGCATTTGGTGCGGGCCGGCGGGCTTCGCGTTATCGGCGCTCAGCTTGGCGCGCTTCTGCTTGGGGGTCGACGTCACGGGCTCGTCGTCGGGGGAATCCATAGTAGAAAGAGCTTTAGAGAGAACGGTGAGCAGCTGCTCCTGATCCATGGAGGACCCCCGTCCATTCAGCAGCGGCGTCGCGGATTCGCTCGCCTTGATTTTGCTCTTGCTCTTGCTACTAACCGCCTTTTTCTTTTTCGGCATTTGCTTCTGCAGCAGTCGCATCATCGCGAGCATCAAATCCATCTGGTTGCCGGTGTCGTCGTCGCCGTCTTCGCTATCGTCGCCATCTTCGCTGCTTTCGCACTCGTCGCTGTTCGCGTTGCCGGCGGAGGAGGTGTTTTGCTCGGCCGACGCGGCTTTGGCATCGGTGGGTTGTGTGAGGGCGGGGACGGACGGGAGGTTGAGAAATGATCCCATGACTGCTTCGATATCTCCGGCAGGAGAGTCCATGCCGATGTGCGCTTCGTCTGGTGAAGTCATCGATGCCATTGCGTGTCGTAGTCTTTAGACGTTATGTTGAATCGTTGTGTTTCTACGCGCTTGATTCGTGGCTCATTCGATTGCGGAGTGGCGTTTGTCGTTGAAATTTTGCTGTCGAGAGAGCTTTTTGCACTGTCAAACGGAAGATTGAATGACATACAAATTCGAGTTGTGGGAATATTTGTAGGATGCGACGCGGAATACTCGCTCCCTGCATGTCGCAGAGGGAAGTGGGGCTCAATTCCGCATTCCAGCATAGGGGCTCCCTGCGGCTCGAGCAACCCGAGAGTGGCGCCAGATTTTCCAGAGAAACCAGCACTGGATGAGAGAGCTGGAGGAAAAAGCACCTGGACTCTGGCGCCATGCTGGCATACTGCCAGATTTGCCATTCCACACCCTCACGCAGCTTTTACAGCATGTGGCCGAAGATTTTGTTTTCCATGCAATTTCCCATGATGGGCGGGAGGCCGATGGGAAATGTCAGGTGGAGTGAAGCTTTGTCCAATCATGGTTCAGGATCGCTTTCGACCATCAGGCCCTTCACGAAACAGTGTTCGCGCAAATATGTTTGTTTGCTACACTTGGTATGAGATGATATGTGGTAACCCGACAACACCTTCGAAACTGGTATGCTGGCTGGCGAAACCAGCTGCCACTGCTTGCCCGTGTTGCGGCTCGAGCCCATTGTTCGCCACCAACATGCCACCACCAGCGGCAGTGAGAGGGGCTGGTTGCCTACTCTCACCATACTCTGTGAGGTTCTCGTGTGTGTGGGGGGGACAGGCTGGGTGTGTGGGTTGCCCACAAATGGTGCGTGTTGGTCGCGACTCCGCACTTGTCTGGCGAAACTCCTGACCGGCGGAAGTGATCAGGGCTCGGCAAATGATCCGCTATAAAGTTGTCCGAGGAAATATTATGATCGTTTTTTCAGAACGAACTTCGAATGTCTAATTCAGTTACACCTTGATGGAGCAGGTGCAGGGCCACTTGTGCTACTGGTCATACTACAAAGCACGAGCAGTCTTGAATCAATTCAAGACTGCTCCGTTTCGCCCGCAGGTTTCTCAAGCAAACATGCATTGTCTAAATACAAATTTTCAATGCATGCGTGCGCTCACTGAAGTTGTCATTACACAGTGGTGAAGTGCTAATAATTTGATGCCAAAGGCACCGGTTGAAAAAAGGCAAATGATTCCTCATCCGTTTATCAGGGGTAGCTTATCAAATGTTGCATTCCAACAACTAAACCTGCCTAATTACACTGACCTTTTAGAACACTTGTAACAGCAACAACACAAGCTGATTCCAACCCAACAATGACACTCCAATATCACAAGCCACAGCTACAGCTACTGGTCATGAGCCCCCCCCAAACCATTCCTATCAAGCGCAGGCGTGAAACATCTCATCCCCTCTCTAGCTGTCCTTTGCCAAGCTTCGCAGCACGTAGTGCAGAATGCCCCCGTTCTCGAAGTATGTCAGCTCCACCTGCACGGCACACGGGAAAAGGAAAGGGGGTGAGGGGGTGTGAGGGAAAGGGGGTGAGGGGAAAACAGAAGCAGAGGAGAGGGGGAAGAGGGGAGGAGAGGAGTAAAAAAGAAGAGTGCTGCAACTGTAGTTCTAAACGAGGTGTGGTGGTGAGACCGAGGGGAACAAATGATGCGTACTAGACACCTGGGTGTCGAATTTTGTGTTTCTGAGCGGGAGACCCACCTGGGTGTCAAATCGCAGCGTGGTTGTGAACTTCTTCCCATTATCAGTCGTGACTTCAACATCCATCCCCGGCTTGATCTCCTTCAGCGGGGGCAGGTGCACCGAAAACTTTTCAAACCCGGTCAGCCCGAGCGACTCCGCGTCCTGGCCGGGCTTGAAGCAGAGCGGGATGATGCCCATGCCAACAAGGTTGCTGCGGTGGATGCGCTCAAAGGACTTGGCGATCACCGCCTTAACGCCCTGCAGGTACGGGCCCTTGGCCGCCCAGTCCCTCGAGCTGCCACTGCCGTACTCCGCTCCTGCTAAGATGACGGTTGGTACCCCCGCCTCCTTGTAGCGCTGGGGGGAAGGGGGGAGTGGAGGGGAGAGGAGGGAATGAGGACTTGGCGATCACCGCCTTCACGCCCTGCAGGTACGGCCCCTTGGCCGCCCAGTCCCGCGAGCTCCCACTCCCGTACTCCTCACCGGCCAGGATGATCGTCGGCACTCCCGCTTCTTTGCAGCGCTGGGGAGAGGGGGGGAACGGGGGGGAGGAAGGGGAGGGGAGTGGAGGGGGGGGAAGATGAGATCAGTGGCAGCCTTAACCCCCACTCTCCCGCTCGCCGCTTCACCTCTCCGTGTCTCACAAAGTAGCTCCCGTTCACTCAACAACCCACCCTCCTCCTGCACTCACCAACCCAACCCTGTGACTCACCATAGCGGCGTCGTGGATGAACATCTTCTCCCCACTCGGCATGTGCACGGTGTGTTGGCAGCCGTGGCCCCCACTCTCATATCACTCTCCAACCCCTGACAATGGCACCACAGCCCTCCTCCACTCACCATGACACCAGTACCCTCCCCCACTCACCATAGCGGCGTCGTAGATGAACATCTTCTCCCCACTCGGCACGTGGACCGTATGAGGGCCCACCTCCCCCTGCATGAACTTGTTCACAATGCGGATGTTGGCAAACGTGCCGCGCGCCATCACCTCGTCGTTGCCCCGCCTGCTGCCATACGAGTTCCAGTCCTTGCGTGCCACGCCCCTCTCTGTCAGATACCTCGCTGCAGCACTGTCCTTGTGAATGCTTCCTGAGAGAGTGGCAGGGAATTAGCAGGGGTGAAGCAGGGGTGAAGCACAGAAGGCACAGGGGTGGTGGGGTTAGGGGCGGGGGTTCCACATGCATTCCGCACACACACACACACACACACACGCCCACCCACACAGCCATCCACCAGCAGGGGAGATGTGGTCGGTGGTGATGCTATCGCCGAGGTTCAGCAGGCAATATGGTCCACCACAGGTGCAGAGACAAACACGAGAGTACACACACCCACAAACACGAGAGTATACACACCCACACACACGAGCACACACACCCTAAGGGCGTGTGTGATTTTATTTTTGGTATAAGTTTGCGTTTTAAAATCGAATGTAGCATTTGAACATGAGGTGAACAAAATTCGACTTTCGTTGACGGCAAAGTTCGATCCGCGCGTCTCGCAAACGGTTGAAGCACAACCACACACCCAAGTTCGATTTTGCACGTTCGACCTTACAGGGGGTGAGCCGAGCCGTCCGTATGTTATTTAGGTTACCTGGTTTCGTCTAGCTCTGCGAGACAAACTGTTTACCTGGTTTCAGTGGTGCGTTCATTGGTGCACGAACAAATCGTGCAATTCGTCAACTTCTCTTGCGTGCCCAAAATAACACATGTTCGGTTCATCGTGCACTCTCACATTCGTGCGTAGATTCGAGCCTTGTTCCCTTTTGTTGGTCGCATTCTGTGTTTCCGATTTAAATTGCATTTCGCCAACCGTGTCAGCGACATTGCCGAATGCGGTAACCAGCTAAAGTTCGACCTAAATTACGAACCTAAAACAATTTCACACACGCCCTAACTCACACCCACACACACAGTCCCCCCACCCCCACCCGCCCAACCACCCACCAGCAGGGGAGATGTGGTCGGTGGTGATGCTATCTCCCAGGTTGAACAGGCAGTATGCGTCCACCACAGGCGCACAGATGCACCCACACATCCAAACATACACCCATGTGCACACACACATCCAAACATACACCCATGTGCACACACATATTCCACCCCACCCACCAGCCACCCACCAGCAGGGGAGATGTGATCGGTGGTGATGCTATCTCCCAGGTTGAGCAGGCAATACGCGTCCACCACAGGCGCCACCCCAGGAGGGTCCTTGGTAATCCCCTTGAAGAATGGCGGCTCGTGGATGTAAGTAGATGCTGGGCTCCAATCATACAGCGCCCCCTCAGGAGCTGTCAGCCCGTTCCACAGGTCGTTGCCACGTGTGATGCTCTCATAGGTCGACCGGAAGAACTCGGGCAGCACGGATTTCTCGACCACGGCTGCCACCTCAGCGGACGTCGGCCAGATGTCGCGCAGAAAGACGGGCTTGCCGTCTTTGCCGGTGCCAATTGGCTCGGTGGTAAAGTCAATGTCCACCTGAATGAGGAAAGGATTGGGTGGTAGAGGAGGGGATATTGGGAAAAGGGGTTGGGATGAGTTGGAAGGACAGGGAATTAAGGGAGGAGGGAGGGCCAAAGGTCGCGCAGGAAGGCGGGCTTGCCGTCGCTGCCCGTGCCGATCGGCTCAGTGGTGAAATCAATGTGCACCTGAGTGGGGAGGGGATTGGGTGGCAGAGGAGGGGATATTGAGAAGAGGGGGGGAGATGTCGGGCAGGAAGACGAGTGGGCATCCACACATGCAAGGGACATGTGATGCGTTGATATCAGACGCATGGATTTCAGCTCCCCGTGCCAGCAAGAGCAAAGGCGCCCACGATGGGAGGCGAGGCAAGGTAGTTGGCACGTGTCACTGGGGATGAAATGCACCTTGAGAGGGCTGGGAGGGCTATTCGTGCTGCCAGTGCATGCACAGGCACATGCACATGCACATGCACAGGCACATGCACATGCACATGCACATGCATGGCTTCATGCGTGGGCTATGCAATGTGACTCACCGTGCCGGCGAGGGCATAGGCGACCACAAGGGGAGGAGAGGCGAGGTAGTTGGCGCGTGTCTGGGGATGCACTCGGCCCTCAAAGTTGCGATTGCCTGATAGCACTGCTGCTGCCACTAGGTCTGGGGATGGGTGACGGTGACGGGTGTGAAAGGAAATGAGCGAGACAGAGATTGATGAGTGGTGGGGAGGGAGGAGGGGAGAAGTACGGTGCCAGGGGTGGGGATGAGAAGAGGAGCGGAGGGGAGGGGAGGGGAGGGGAAGAGAGGAACGCAGAGAGGCTAGCTTCCTGGAAAACCCACCCACTGCCCCGCCGATCCACACCCCTTCCACCTGCCCACAAACCCCTCTGACCCACACACACCGTTCTCACCAATGGCCTGCCCCACGGACTCTGCTATCTCCCCTAACTTGCCCTAAGTGTGCCCATCCCACAATCCCCCCTTTCCCCAAGCCTCCCAGCTGCCCCACCTCTCCACATCCCTCCCCACCCACTCACACCACCACACCGAGTCTGGTGGTGGGTTGTGCGGAAATGGCCTGTCCCACCGAGTCTGCCATGCCCTGACTCACACTCCCACGCAGGGCATCTCCCGATGCATCCCCTCCCCCTTGCACCCCTCCCAGCCGGCCCAAAGCTCCAAAGCCCAAACCTGCCACACCCCTCCCAACTGCCCATAACTCCTTCTAAACCCACACACACCGTTCTCAGCGATGGCCTGCCCCACGGACTCTGCAATCTCCCCTGAGTTGCCGATGCAGGTGGTGCAGCCGTACCCCACCACATGGAACCCCTGCTTCTCCAGCGAGGGGAGGAGACCACTGCGTGGGAAGAGGGAAGTGTGGGAATGAAAGAAGGTAGAGGTTGAAAGCTAATCGCATGATGCATATGCATGGCTCATGTTATGTGCAGTGTTAAAGTGCATGCCAGAGCATGGAGTCTCATATTGTCGGCTCCCATACCCCATCCTATTGACCTAAAGCCTACTAATTCAGGACTATGCGTGCTCTCACTCCTTTGACCTTAAGTCACCAGCCACCTTTATTTTAATTCAACATGCAGTTACAAGCCTCTAATATGAGCTCGGCAAACACACACACTGTTACCACACTGGTAACCACACGCACCTCTTCTCAAGGTACTTGGTGACCACACCCGAGCCAGGCGCCAGGCTGGTCTTTACCCATGGCTTCACCTGCGGGGGGGAGCGCGAGAAGGAAAGGGAGGGAGGGAGAAGGGGTGGGGTGGGCGTGGGGTTGGGGAGAGCATGAGAGAGAGAGAAATATAGAGCCGGGCGCCAGGCTGGTCTTTACCCATGGCTTCACCTGCGGGGAGAGCGAGGGGAAAGAGGGAGTGGCAGTGGGGTGGGGTGACACAGAGCATGAGGGAAAGATGTTGGGCAAACGCCCAACATCCGTGCTGTTGGGCAAACGACGGGCTTCACTTGTGCGAGGGGAGAGGGAGGAGTGAGGTGCGGGTTGGGGGTGGTGGGGATGAATAAGGGGGAAAGGGTGAGGCATGGAGGTGGGGGCGAAACATTCGACGGGATATGCTTTTGAGAATTCTCAAAGCAGATTCGATCAAAGCGCATCTCCAACCCACCCCACTGTTGCCCCGGCCCCCACCTGCAGGCCAAGGTCAGTGGCCTTCTTGGCGACGAGTGTAGCCCCGAGCATGACGGAGGGGTTGCTGGTGTTGGTGCACGAGGTGATGGCCGCGATCACCACCGACCCGTGCCTCAGCTCCTCCCCTTAACCCCCACGCCTCTCCCTGCACGCCCACCACTGCCTACCTGCAGACCGAGGTCAGAAGCTTTCTTAGCAACCAGGGCAGCGCCGAGCATGACGGAGGGGTTGCTGGTGTTGGTGCACGAGGTGATGGCCGCAATCACCACCGACCCGTGCCGAAGCTCTGCTGGCTGCCCGTTGAACGAGAACTTAACCACCTTGCCCTGCTGCTCCTTGGGCAGCGCGAAGCCCTGGAGGAGGGGAAGAGAGAGAGACGAAGAGGGAAGAGGAGGTTGATTTGGAGGTAAGGTCAGGAATGCCCGTTGAACGAGAACTGCACCACCTTGCCCTGCTGCTCCTTGGGCAGCGCGAAGCCCTGGAGGGAGGGGAAGCGAGAGACACAGGGCGGTATGAAGGGGAAGGCCAAAACCGCAGGGCAGACCGGACGAGGGATGAAGGGGGAACTGGGAAGGGGAACCGAAGAAGCAATGGGACGCGGAAACAATGGGATGAAAGGCGAAACGGAAAGAGAGAGAGCAAGGCAACACAGCAGGTGAATTTGCGTTGGCATGAGGAGGTGGCAAGCGGATACTTCAAATGAATTGGATACATACGGGGAAGTGGCAGGACTGACCTTGAAGCCCACGGGGTTGTCGAGGCACGCCTGCCAGTCCTCCTTCATGCTGCGCAGTGGCACACGGTCATGGGGCCTGGGGGGGAGAGGAAGGGCCGCAGAGGCAGGGGTGGGTGCACATTCGGGGGCGCACAGTCATGCGAGCACCTGACAAATCCTCAAACCCTATAACCTGGCCCCAAGCTCCGAACCCCAAGCCCCGAACTTCAAACCCCAAGACCCGAACCCTGTACAGGCATAATGGGTACATCTTTGGGCCGAAATGGGGGCTCAACGACAGAGAGATCAAGTTTGTTCATGAGTCACCTCAAACACAGACTCAACCCTAAACCCCGAACCCTGCACAGGCATGGTAAGTACCTCTTGGGGCCGGAGATGCAGGGCTCCACGGCGCCCAGATCGATTTTGAGTTTTTGATGCACCTCAAAACAGACGCCGAACCCTGAACCCGAACCCTGAACCTCTGAGCCCCGAACCCGAACCCCAGTCCCTCAGGCCCGAATCCAGGCTAAATGGGGTACCTCTTGGGGCCGGAGATGCAGGGCTCCACGGCACCCAGATCGAGCTCCAGCACCGAGGAGTAGGACCGATCCGCCTGGGGCTGTGAGGAGGCAGATGTGCGCAGAGGGCGAGAGAGGGATACAGAGAGGTAGCGAGGGACACAGTGGGGGAAGCAAGGGAGTACGTGGAGGAGCGAGGCGGTTAGACGTTAAAAATGGGATGGAGCTGGGGCAGACAGGGAGTGATTTCGCACGTTAAGGGAACAAACACAGTGAGGTGAGGTGGTGCGCCGTGCTGCAGACTGTTGTGGCATGGCATGGCAACCTCGTGGTTATTTATTTGCAGCATGGAAAAGCTTTGTGAAACGTCAAACCCCTCTCATTATCCGCTCTCTGTAACATCTCACCTCATTGTAATCAACGAACATCTTGTTAGCTCTGAGGTATGCCTCCACCAGTTTCACCTGCACGCACAGCACACATGTTTCAGCATACAATGAGCATACACGTAAAGAAGATGATTTTGAAGTCACGCGAACAGAGGAACGCTCAGATGCTTGGTTAACCTGTTCCTTCACCACTGCACGATGATTTGCGTCTCACTGCGCTCCATCGCTCACCGTCTTTCTCATCGCGCCCCGAGGTCTTCAGGTATGCCAGCGTGGCATCGCCCACGGGGGAGAACCCCACAGTGGCCCTATGAGTCGACATGTCTCGATATACCACTCACTCTCTCACTGTATCATGGTTCTCACGATATACCTCCCACCATGATTCCCTCAGTCACCGTATTCTCGTCTCAGCCAGAGGTCTTGAGATAAGCAAGCGTGGCATCGTCCAACGCCCGTGAACGCACCCTCCTCACTCCCCACCGCCTCCCACCACTCACTCGCGATTCCCCCATCGCCTCCCACAATGGTTGTATCACGCACCGTCTTATCATCGCGCCCAGAAGTCCTGAGATACGCCAGCGTGGCATCATCCACGGGTAAGAACGCCATAGTGACTATTCACTGAACGGTGCTATCTCCGTACCCACTCACTCACTCGCTCACTCACTCACCGTGCTCTCATCGCGCCCAGAAGTCCTGAGGTATGCCAGCGTGGCATCGTCCACGGGGAAGAACCCCATCGAGGCTACTCACTGCACGGTGCTATCTCCTTACCCACTCACTCACTCACTCACTCACCGTGCTCTCATCTCGCCCAGATGTCCTGAGATACGCCAGCGTGGCATCATCCACGGGGAAGAACCCCATAGTCGCGCCGTACTCGGGTGCCATGTTGGCAATGGTGGCCCTGTCAGCGAGCGCCAGGTGGCGCATGCCGTCGCCGTGGAACTCCACGAACTTGCCCACCACGCCATGCTGACGCAGCATGGCCGTACACGTCAGCACGAGGTCCGTGGCTGTCACGCCAGGCTGGAGCTTTCCAGTCAGCTTAAAGCCCACCACCTCGGGTAGCACCATGCTCATGGGCTGGTGGGGAGGGGGGAGGCGGGAAGCGGGGGGAAGGGGGGAAAATGGGGAGTGACGGAGTGGTAAAGTGGAGGAGCGCGTGGTGCAGGTGGTGAGGGACGGGGGACGGGGGAAGGGGACTATGGTTAAAACATCGCACCATGACACTGGCTCGATTCAGCTTCAAGTCAAACAACGCACCTGCCCCAGCATGGTGGCCTCGGCCTTGATGCCGCCCACGCCCCACCCCGCCACGCCCTGATGCGACATTATCTGTATCCCCATGCCGCCACACCACTGCTCGAACAAACCTTCGACTCTATCCATCCCTCACGCACCTGCCCCAGCATGGTGGCCTCCGCCTCGATGCCGCCCACGCCCCACCCCGCCACGACCACACCTAGTATTGCCCCATGCCACCGCACAGCACCGCATCAACGCGAGTGCATCAACGCACCTGCCCCAGCATGGTGGCCTCGGCCTCGATGCCGCCCACGCCCCACCCCGCCACGCCCAGCCCGTCGATCATGGTGGTGTGCGAGTCCGTGCCCACCAGGCTGTCCGGGTAGAGAAAGCCGTTGTGCGCAAACACCACTCGGGCGAGATACTCCAGGTTTACCTGCCACAATCAGGCGCGCGCAGCAATGCACGCAGCAACACACGCAGCAAGGGATAGGAGTGGGAGGGTAGATGTTAAGGGTCCGTCGATCATGGTGGTGTGCGAGTCCGTGCCCACCAGGCTGTCCGGGTAGAGAAAGCCGTTGTGCGCAAACACCACTCGGGCGAGATACTCCAGGTTTACCTGCCACAATCAGGCGCGCGCAGCAATGCACGCAGCAACACACGCAGCAAGGGATAGGAGTGGGAGGGTAGATGTTAAGGGTCCGTCGATCATGGTGGTGTGCGAGTCCGTGCCCACCAGGCTGTCCGGGTAGAGAACGCCCTTGTGCGCAAATACCACTCGCGCCAGGTACTCCAAGTTCACCTGCCACAGTGGGGCAGCGGAGTCGGAATCGGGATTCGAACCGGGATTGAGTACTAGTAGATTTTCAGTCGACAATCACGGGACATTGTGGACCACACTGACCTTATCTCACAAAAGCGTTACATTTCCACACCTCACCCCTCACCTGGCGCACAAACACATGACCGTTCACCTCGCGCACAACACCTGACCGCTCACCTGATGCACAATGCCAGACCCCGGAGGCACGACGCGCATGTTCTGGAAGGCCTTCGCTCCCCATTTCAGAAACGCGAAGCGCTCGCTGTTGCGGTCGAACTCGAGCTGCATGTTCTGCGCCACCGCGTTGGCGGAGCCCGCCACGTCCACCTGCACCGAGTGGTCGATCACCAGGTCGACAGGAACCTGCGGGTTGATCGCGTTCGGATCGCCGCCTAGCGACTTCATCGCGTCGCGCATTGCTGCTAGATCCACCACCGCCGGCACGCCCGTGAAGTCCTGCAAGGGGAGAAGTAAAAAAAAAAGGGGGAGAGAGGGGGAGCGGGGAAGGAAGCGATAATGTATGTTTACGCTGACTGTATGCCATCAGGTGGGAAATGCGAGCGAACATCGCCGAGCAATTGAGATGACTAAGGAATCAAAACGAAATGCATGCGCGTACCCTGCTCACTCCGTACCTGCAGCAGCACGCGGGCAGGCTTGAAAGGAATCTCCACTTGCTGCGGGGCAGTTTTCTCCCAATCGAGGATCTTCTCCACGTCAGCGGGCAGCACCTGGAAGTTGTCGCAGTTGCGCAGCGCCGACTCGAGCAGGATACGGATGGAGTAGGGCAGGCGATCTGACGTGGCGTGGCGTGGGGTGGCGACAGGAGGGGGTGATAGTAATAGGAGCCAGTTTTCAGTAACAAATCGTGTCAACACAGAACGGTAATAGCTAAATCAGAAGCGGTAGGAGCCAACCTTAACCACGATGGTCTGAATTTAATGAGACACCAATGAAACGAATGACAGCACAGGTGAGGTACACGAAAACATTAAGGCTTTAATGTAATCTGGCCTGTTCGCTTGCTGACTACACAACATTCAGCGCTTAACCATTTTCTAACGGATCAGCTCTAGCCGGACATTCGAGCCTGCGATGGCGATCCCCTCTTCCTGAGGCCTCTAAAACGTCAACTTACGAAAACTATTTTATCAACTTGGGAGAGGTTACCAGTTACTTACTATACATAGAACAGAACTAAAGTGTACAGATGCACACTCACCAACGCGCGGGTCGTTGAGTGCAGGAAGGCTGTAGTACTTTCCGTACGAGCCGCCGTCAGCCGATGAGAGGTCTGTGACGATGTTCTTGAACGGGTTCTCGGGCGCTGCACAGGCAAAAAATCCCAAGAACAGAGTGACAATAGAGGCGTAAGAATGACCATGAAGGATCACACAGCATTGATCAGGGAGCCAGCAAAGAAATCAAATTGTTCGAAGAAAAATCCTATCCTGGTTTCGTAGGTATTGAACAGTTTGATCGTCACAGGGATTTGTGCAAAATCGGAAAGTACCTGCGCTGGAGGCCTTCCGAGTGAGGATGTACGCCGACGGCACAGGCCGTGCGAGCAATCTGTGCGACACGTTAGCGCCGCCAACCGTCGCAGACGACGACATGCGACGCCACAGCGACGTCTGACCATGACCAGTCACCCACGCACTTCGCATATTCTGCGCGATCTGCGGACGATCGCCGACGATGGACGCCGATCTTTGAGCAGCCGCTGCCGACGCCGCTACAGGCGCTACTGCCGCTCCGGCTGTCGCGCCGGACATGGCGTTCTGAAGGCTGGGCGCTACAGTCGACATCAAACGGACAACCCTAGACGCCTTCATCGCGACGACTGCTTTCCCCGAAACTTCTGAAACACCGGGGACGCGGGTCGTACGGGAAGGTCGGGTTCCCGAGTGGATAAGGGAAGTGCTCGAAAGAGCACAGGAGGTTGTGGGTGCCTGCGTTAGCATCAAGCTAAGAAACTGGAATGAAAGAAACTTGTAGGAAGAGCAAAAGCAACAGGAATAAAAGGTTGTGGGGAATGATGGCGGAAAAAGGGGAGATGGGACGAGGGGAGCGGTGGGAAGGGGAAAGGAAGGGAGGACCAGCCAGCCAGCTAGGTGGGTGCCAGCCAGTTGCTTGGTTATGTACGTATTCCTATGGTTCAGTTGGGTTTTGTTGCGTTTTACCACGGCTCTTATGTGGCACCGCTATGGAACGCAACAGACCGAACACAAACGTGACAGTTCATTTGAAAATGAATGCTCGGAGCATGTGTGTGTGGTGCGGAAGCTAGTTGCGGTGGAGCTCCCTAAACCCAGTGCAAAAGCTTGAATTTTCCGTGTGGGGAAAAAACCCGCTGGACGAATTTCCACGGATTTGACGCAGCCGACATGGAAGGCGGCGTGTTGCGCGGAAAGCTCAAAGTGCACTGCGATTGGGCAAAAGGCTCCACAATTCAAGGACCAGAGTGCCTTAATTGGGTGAAATTGACGTGGATGAGAAAGTCTGCCACGTATAGGAACGGCCGCAAGATGCTGGGAAATGGATAGTGTCAATGCGCTTCTGGCCGTTGGATCGACTCACGTGGTCAATGCCTCAGGAGATCCCAATGCCATTCACGTGCATAGAAGTGCGCTCTTATCGAATTTTACAGTACAGCTTACATAGCTTCTACAGCGTGTGTAGTTATAGGACATTCTTAGCTAACCACAATGCTGCTTTTCATATTCCTGGAGACAGGTACCAATATGCCTTGGAAAACACTTCGATGATGTAATCACCGGGATGCCATTGTGCCATCCACAATCGCTTGCATTACCTTGATGGTCGTCTACATACAGATAAAGCATGGGGCTACCGTACATGCAGCCCGCAACAGCACACAATTTCCACTCGATTCAAACCTATTAACATCCCTGCGGGAGGGCTTCACTGACTACAGATCGCTGTGCAGCGATGACTTCCGACTTGAGCTCCTTGGGCCTCACAATGATTACCGGGCATGCACTGGCAGGGCAGGAAGTAATGCATATGTGAAGTTGAGGAGACACAGAATGCACAGGGAAAATATTTAGTTTAAAAACGAGCTGCAGAATCAGAATGGAATGTAAAAAGGTGAAGCGAAAAGGCACAAGCGGAGGAGAATTTGGTGGTGTCAGAGGAGCAGGCGATGCTGCTGCGAGACTAACCTGTGGTGCGCACAGTATTCACTGACTGAGCCGAGTAGAGCTCTGCAGGAGGTGGAAGGACCGGCAGAGGCACAGAAGGGAAGGCGATGAGAGAGAAATACAAGCTGGCAGGTGCATGCAACGGAAGGGACAAAAAGGTGGAGGCAGACAAAAGCGAGAATAATCACAAAAGAAGCTCTCATTCCGACAGGTGAGAAACCCGTACTGCCGCTGTCAAGCATGTCGCACTGGCATCACCTCACGGGCGGCCTTTCAGAGAGGACACTTGGTGAGGTGCAGAGCAGCACTCACTTTTTGACGGGCAGGAGAATCCTCATGCCAACGATGAGCACGTCGGCACACTGAGATCACCTCATGTCACGAGAGCAACAGTCTGGTGCCAACAATGAGCACGTCGGTGCACACACGCATCACCTCATGTGACTCATTTCAAGCATGACACGCAGAAGGGACAAATGCTGACTGTAGGACTTACTTCTTGACGACCGGGAGGCTCCTCGTTCCAACGAAGACCACGTCGACACACACACGCATCACCTTATGAAGGCCATTTCACGCGTGTCACGCAAGGGACAAATGCTGACAGTGGGACTCACTTTTTGGCGGCCGGCAGGCTCCTGGTGCCGACAATGAGCACGTCGGCACACACGCGCATCACCTCGCGGCAGATCACGTCCCTCTCGTCGCCACACGCTATCCGCCAATCGCAGTCCACCTGCATTGCCACGTCACGTCACACCACGTGGAGATTAGAACACCATTCTTCCTGGTATTTCCCGCGCGTGAGGCGAAAGTGGGGCGACAGCAAGCAGTGTTAGCGAAGGAAGAAGGGACAGGAAACGAGAAATGGATATGAAGAATGGACGCGTGTGGGTACCAGTGGGGCACAAGGCGCGAGGGGGAATAGGGAGGGGTGGGGCGGAAGGATGAAGGGGAGGGGAATTGAAGGTGGGGGGAGCTGGGTGTGTATTGGCGGTGAGGAGGTGAGGGTGCGAGAGAAGAGGGCGGGAAGGGCGCGAAGGGCGGGAAGGGCGCGAAGGGCGCGAAGGGCGCGAAGGGCGCGGAGGGGCGCGGAGGGCGCGGAGGGGCGCGGCTTACATCGGCGTGGGCGCATCGGCGCATGTACTTTTCCACGACGGCGCGCGCTGACGTCATGGCCTGCTGCTCTAAACACGCGATCGCCTCCTTGGAAAGCGTGCCGATGGCGTCTGCGTGGCGCGTTGCAGAGAAAAGGGGGCGAGGGACCACGGGGAACGAGGGGAGACAGTGGGTGAGCGGTGAGACAGGCGGTTTGGGTGGCGGAGAAATGGGGAACGGGGAGGTCAGAGGATGATTGTGAAATGGGTGTCGAGAGGGAAAGGGGCATTGGAGTAAGGGGGTTTATGTACATAAATTTTACTTAAAACAAAAAACAAAAAAAAAGGGAGACAAGGCAAGGGATAAAACGGGCGTACGAACTGACCGCTGTAGTTTCTGACGACGTGTATAAGCCGCACGTGGTCGTGCCGCTTGCAGTAATTCCGGAGGGCCCAGTTGAACGCGAGCTCCGACCCTGCACGCGCCGCGCACGAGAGAAGAGGCAGTAGGGGGGAGGGCAAGAGCTACGCGGATAAGCAACAAGACAGACCCAGGGTTTAGGTAGGCACGATACCGGGCCACGGATCCCCTCGCAGCACGTCAGATCCGATTCTGCATGCGTGCCAGTGTGCATTGATGTCGGGATACGGCGGATCGGCAGCAGAGCGACAGTAGGATAGGCCGCAGAGTGCGGGTGATCCGCACGGAACGGTCGGCCGACTATACAGAAGCGATGTGATGGACGATCAACGGCGGGTGCTCACCTTCGGTGGTATCGACGGCTATTAGGATCTCGCGGCAACTGCTGAAAAACGGCTCCATGTCTTCACTCTCCTCTTGTTCTCCTCTTCTCCTCCGCTGGTCCTCCTCTCTGCTCCTCTCTGCTTCTCTGCCTTGAGCCGCTGACAAATGAGATGAGTGCACAAAAACTACTTATCGACAGAACTTCAGAGGTCCTGAAAAGAGTAAACACCCACTAAAACACCTTCCAGTGTAGAAAGAATTGAGTTATCTTTGGCTGCCGCTGCACTGAAGTCGTTCAAATCTGTAAGGAACGTTCGTTACTGCCTCTGTTATCGTCGACACCTCTAGTTAGACGCGTGATGGGGATCGTAAAGGTAGGATGAAGAGGAAGCGCGATGGAATATGCTGGCGGGGTGGGATGACAGCTGAGGACGGTGTGGGAAGTCGAGGGATCTTGTGGGTACGAATCGATCTGCTCTGTGTCTGTATTTGTTTCCTCTCGCAACATCAATTCGAAAACCGAAAGCAGATGAGTTGAAGCGTGTCAACGATGACAACCTGGGCCTGACCCGACCACGAGGCATCTCAGCTTCCCGTCGCGCGTCTGTAGGTGCGTGGAATCTAGGTTCTCCCGTTTTCGTGTCAAGCGGGTCGTGTCGCGTCGTGTGGGCTGAGGCTGAAACTTGAGGATGACGACGGGGTGTGCTTTTGTACAGTCTCGCGAATGTGGGAATAGAAGGGGAATAGAGGAAGGGGGCAGCAGCAGGGGGAGGGATGGATGGATTGCTCGATGAGGGCGGGTCAAAGGTTGTTGAGCACGGTTTATAACGTTCTGACACGTTAAATTACGGTTTTGGATTTCACCGCTTTTGACCATGGCGCACCAGAATGAACCTAGCAGAATCGGTTGTTGTAATGTAACCAAACGAATATGACCCCTGCTGGGTGGGATGACAAGAACGCGTTGCGGGCAGTCTGTCGTGCATGGTCAGTCACCCCGGGGAGTCGCGAAAGTCGAGAACAGTGAAGGAGATACGCGTGGAACCCGCCAAGTCCTACGCTGACCGCGGTCGCCCACATTACAATGATGCACGAGTGGGGGGAGTGAGAGGGGGACAGTGTGGTGGGTTAAGGTGGGGATAGGTGCGGTGGTGGTGATTGGGAGATGCCCAATGTCAGCTCAGCTGCTGCTGGGGCGGTTGGTGCGACGCGATCGCACCAGCGGTTGAATGAGGGTGCAAAAGTAACCGAAAGCTGAATTCATGGGTCAACGCACCAATACCTGATCCAACAAATTCATTCAAATATAGCCACTCGGTGTAAATCTTGGTGTCCGAGCACTGTGCAAGAGCCGGCCCTATATTTCCAGCAGTGCAGGGTGTTCCACGCTCAGAACCTCTTTCAGCCAAACATTTCCTCAACTATCCCCACAAAAACATCCTTGCTGTTGTTCCCCATCATCACACGCCTATACGAACCGCGGTTGCCACTGGCGTTTGAACGTTCAAAGCGTCGCGGCGCAGGTCCCTGCTTTCTGGGGCATCTGGGTGGAAAGTGGATACATGCGCTGTCCTCCAGCGAGGCAGGAGATTCGGTTCTCAGCCACGCATGCGGGCGACACTTGCTGCGCTGTCCTGCTGACTCTGCACGGTCCAGCTTCGTTGCAAAGGGTGACATGTCTTGCGACGCTGGGCGCCATCGTTATCGAATAAACAAGTTGCTACAATACTGTACTTCACCACCGTTAGGGCGTGTAACTTTTTCCGTTTTAGGCAAATGTCCGGACGGAGCCCCAAAACCGTCCGAACGGAGCTCCGTCCGGACGGTTGGGGAGGTGGTTCGGACGATGAAGCGTCCGTACCACAATTGTGACACTTTTTTGCAGTTTCGAAATTTAAGTTTTGAGCGAAACAGTAACGCGCATAACCTCCCTCGCCAGCACATCGCCCAGCTCGCAAGCATGCAGTTTGGGCTCGGTAATGTTCGAGGTTTCCAACTACCCACTTCGTCCTCTTGCTCGCGTTACTGTGAGTACAACACACAAACTGAAAGTTGGGAGTGGGAAATCGAGTTGCCAGAATTGTGCCTCGCGCGCCAATGAGGTTGCAGGAGTTCCGGACGGTCCGAAATGCTGTCCGGACGGTCTCAGCAGCGTAGAACGGACGATGAACTGACAGAAAAGTGTCAGATTTTGTACGGACCATCGCGACGTCGCGAGGGGCCTTGCGAATTCTCTCACGAATCCTAGCGAACGGTGTAACCCTACAAAAGTCCGGACGGGGCTTCCGTCCGGACGATGAAAAGTAAAAAAGTTACACGCCCTTATAGCCCACGCAAGGTGGTCTGGGGTGAGATTTGAGTGACCCGATTCAACCTACGGAACTGTGCAACCAACCAAACCAGAGCAGAGCGAGTGGGGGCAACAGATACAGTACTGATACAGAAATAAATCGTTACAGCTTGTCAAATATTATGTTAGCTTACTAGTGAATATGAATTGTGAGGCTGGCACTAGCCTTACTATAATGATACAATGCAAGATGGAAGTGGCCTTCCCTTGAGCGAACGATAAAGAGCCTGGGAGCGCTTGAAATCATATATGTTGTCAATGACTTCCCTCTTCTCGCTTGATACTTCCACCGACTCTTTCGCTCCCTCGTTGCCTCCACTAGCAGAATCACTTGCTCCACTCTCAGGGCTTACAGCACAGACGGGAGCAGTGCTGTCTGAACCATTCACAGCAGGCTCAGGGGCGCTTTCGGCTGCACAGGTTGTTGCTGCTTCCTCGGGTGCTGCTTCCTTCTCATGCCTCTGCACCTGTTGGGGTGTTAGTGTCACACAGAGTACCATGCCAGAGCATGCATTACCAGCAATGCAAGTGCAGAATGTTATGTATACACACATAGAATGTGTGATATAAATACCTGAGCAACGGCACTGCATAGCACGTAAAGCACAGTAAAAGGGAAAACAGCTCATTACTTAGTAATAACTACTCCCTGAACGTATGGTGTACCTGCACGCTGAGCAGCCTCCTATTGGGTGCACCTCGCTTCACCACAGAGGCAAAGAAATGCGCCACGTGGGATGGACGCAGCAATCGAAGCTCCGCCACCTGGCGCATGGGGGGGGGGGGGGAGTGAGAGGGAGAGATGGTGTGAGGGACAAAACAGGGAAAGACATGTCCAAAATACTTGGGGGGGAGGGTGTCACAGGGAGATGCTATTGTTGAGGCCTGGTCAACGCAGTCAAAGGCAGTCTTTACCTCCAGGTAAGCACGGCCAAAGGTCGTACTCACCTCCTGGTCAACGCGGTCAAAGGCCAGCATGGCATCGTCTATTTCCTTCCACATCACATTCGCCTCCTCCACCAGATTCTTCTTCCTCTCCTGCTTCTTCGCCACCAGCGCCGCCACATGGGTCTGATGGGGTTGGGCGTGGTGGGGTGTGGTGCAATGCGGTGGTTAGTTAATGCAACATTCGCCTCCTCCACCAGATTCTTCTTCCTCTCCTGCTTCTTCGCAACCAGCGCCGCCACATGGGTCTGATGGGGTTGGGCGTGGTGGGTTGTGGTGCAATGTGGTGGTTAATGTACGCAAAGTGTGAGATTTTTTCCTCCCTAATTTCGTTTTCCAATCCTGAATCTTTGTTACCAACTCCGCCACATGGTTCTGATGGGATGGTAACGTGTGGTGGGTGGTGCATGCCAAATGCTGGTTGGTACGGCTGGTAATGCCTTCGTGCTCCCTGTTCCGGCCGGACGTGTCCATTCGGGTGAGAAAAACTGCAACAGCAAGACGAAAAGTTTGACGTTAAGGCAGAAACAGACAAGAGATGCCACCCACCTGGAACTCCTCCTCAGTGATACCGGCCAGCTTGCTCTCTGCTGCCTGCAGAAACGCCTCCACTCGCCCGTCCAGGTCGCTCGCTGACTGCTCCCAATTCAACAGGGAGCGGTGAGGAGGAGAGGAGAGGGGTGGAGAGGGGTGGGAACAAAACCAGCGGCAAGGAGAGAACGAGAGGTGGGGGATGAAAGGGAGATGGGTTGCTCTCCGCTGCCTGCACTAACGCCTCCACCCGCCCGTCCAGGTCGCTCGCTGACTGCTCGCATGGGAGGGGGGACGGGGGGTGAGGAGGAGTGGAGAGGGGTGGGAAGGAAAGAAGGGGCAAGGAGAGAGCCAGATTTGAGGATAGTGCGAGGCCGGGACTGGTTACCCTTTGCTGCCTGAGGAGGAATGGGGATGGGCTGTTGAGACGGCATATGGACCCACAAATCAGCCCTGATATGGCATTGTGGACTGATAGCTGAGTTGGCACATGAACCGGCAGGCAAATCAACAGAGAGCGCACAAGATAAATGAAACAACAATCAATGTACACGACATTGCATGAGCGGCAGGGAGAGAATGGTGCATCCGCAAGGATGAATGGTGGGAGAGAGAGGAGGGGAGCAAAGGGGGGGTGAGGAAGGGAACGTGCCTTGACGTTTGATTGGATGATGAAGGTGATGCCATGCACTGCATTCTCATTGCTGAAAGGGCATCGGGGCAGTGGAGAAACGAGGGCACAG